ACTGCAGAAAACATGGAAAACTATGGCGAAAATGAGCACCCCACAAATGACAAATTAGCGAAATAAAAGAAAATTACAAATTTCAAAGCCGAAGATAGATTGGCATTTTAAAAGATAGATTTGGATTGTATATTTTCTACAATAATTCAAAACAAGTATAAACATACAAGGACTATGATCGCAAAACAAAAAGACTATTACATATGACTGGCTTCTCACGAAAACTAATGTTAATTCAGTATGTTAAACTTTGAAGGATAATTACGATAAGAACATTTTTTGACACCCAACATTAATAGTATGGTAAAAAGATGTGAAGACATGTACAAGTAAAACAATAACAAATGAAAGAGTATTAAACATTATAATGTCTAATAACGTGTTTGAAATCTAAAATAGCACTGCAGAACTAATCACTTTCTTTATAGCCAATGATATTATCATAATTTGAAAAGATGTGAAAAACCGTTGCAAATATATTACTTGTGTTCCTATATGTTTAAATTTTACTTTGTTTCAATCTCTACACATTTAATGCCTATTATGAACGAAAAACATTCAGGCGAAAGCGCCACATTTTTCTAACACAAAGAAGTAAACAAACAACCAAAACAACATATCTGTTTAGAAATAAAAATAAAAAGATACAAACGATTAAGACACGAGTAATGCCATCACCCTACCATTCCAGTGTTGACACATTATCCCCAAACACAAGTACAATTGTATTAGCCTTTTATAATTTTGCATACACTTTCCAATTTCATCAGCTAAGAGACGACTAGCTTTTTAGAAAAGCTATTACTTGTTGGTGTATGGAATGATTGTAAGGTATGTCCGAAGGGTTTAAGTGACATTTACCTTAATTTTATGATTCATTAGTCAATATTTTGCTTAAATAGTTCCGTCAGTTTCTCTTATAAAAACAGTTGAATAGCCAAAGCAATATATGTTTGAAACTTTTCTCAAGCAATGGTCAACATTGACGATATTGACTGGGTTTGTTGTATTTCTTTTGTTGATGTCTTTATTGCTTTTATCAGTTGTTTGCTTAATTTCTAATGTACCTTAAGAAGGTTATTCGAGAAAGAAAAATTAACAGAATAAAGTGAAGAATAACTGCCACATTTCTGAAATGATACAGGCATTTACTAATAAAAATGGTTGGTTAAACCTTGTTTTATAGCTAGCTTATCCTCCCACTTGTATGACATTTGTTTATAGTTCCCTCATTTTGATGAAAGTGGATGAACAACCCAAAACGATATATAAGGTTAATGTAACAACAATTTGGATCTACAGCCCAAACTGTAAACCTATATCATGTAATATGCATTTGATAGCGGAATCTTACATTTCTATTCCAGCTAATACGAGTTACTTAACTAAACATACAGACCAAGATCCAAAGCTATATGGATATTTAGTAATCATACCACATCTTATTATAGTCATATTGAATGATGGGTGAAGACATTACTCCTCAGTTATGCGAATGCGATCTTGGTGAAAAAGTCACGATACGATAGGGAATAGGATGCATTTAATTAAATCAACATTTCAAATATTCTAAAGATTTTATTTTACACTCAATTAAATACAACACAATACAATAATAAATCCTTCAAACACTAAAAAAATGTGGGAAGACCAATTGATAACTAGGAAGGGGGAGACTTTTTACAGATTGGATATTTGTTGCTTCACATAGTTAGATTCGTTTTGCTGAAATGTAATTTAGTTTTTGTACACATTTGTTTTTTGTATTTTGTAAAGCAAAATAGTCATGGAATTCGCCAACAGTTCTGTGCAAAGTTGTATTCTTTTTGTTCATTCAAGTCCATTTTTTTATTTTCAAAATCCTCCTGCCCCGATCCCAAGAAAATCAAATGGTCGTTCCCATGCCATACTAAAGAAGATAACAAATAGTCGGTATACAATCTTATCAATAGCACTTTTTATGGTAAAAATTAAAGCATAATATTTATATCTTCTGTATTATATATAGATAGTTATCCTTTCATTTGGAATATTCATTAATTTGAATTTTTTAAAAATAGTGTCATACTATTTGTGATCAAATTCTTTTAATCTATTCATGACAATATTCATGATACATATAAAGATTGTGAGCTTCTTCATATTGCAATTTTGGTTTCGCAATGTATTAAACAAGCTAAGAGGAGTTTTTCATAGTTCACATTAATTTTTGGTAGAAGTGGTCTTAAATTCGATATCAGATCACACATTAATGATATCTCGTTGCAAAAATCACCTGGTAAAGAGTTAACATTGCAAATGATTAAATAAGGTAATACATAGCATTCAGAAAAATGCAATCGAAAGAAGGCATAGGATAAGATAATATCATTGTCAAACAGCTATTTGATAGCCTAATTTAAGAAATCTGAATCGGTTGAATTGAACCAAAAAGATATTTAGTTTCAGGACATGTGATAAATCTCTTCAGACGTCTAACAGTTCATACCACTTTTAGTTATTTTTTGTCAAAGTCAAAATCTCCATACTGTGTCTGCTGCATTACTGAAGACAAGGAATGCGCAGAATTTGTTTTTTTTTACAGAAGGATGTTAAGTGAATATGAGCAAAATAAAATCTTATCGTTTATGCTGAAACAATTTCTAAAACCAACTAAGGACTTAAAAAGAAACATAAATATAATCAGTATGTTAAGTAATCAAACATTGAAAAACAGCGGCGTAGTTGATACATTTCTTGAAATGCTTGAAAACAGTTTGAAGCCAATGGCCATGTTGATATTTTCAATTTCTTGATCAGATAATAAATTGTGCTTTCCATTATACTATCATAAAGTAAGTAATTAAATTCCTTTGGGTCAAAAGGTTCCAGTTATTCTAATTCAGACTGGTCTTCTATGAGTTTCATTCTGATCTTGAACGCAGTTTTAACATTAACAGACACATACGCTGGTTTATCTGAACATCTATAGACTTCACGCCAGTTTAGAGACATTGACATATAGTACCGGTAAAACTGTTCGTGATATTAGCGTAAAACGTGTTAATTGTTGATTAGTCAATCCTCTTAACATTTCTGTTATTGTTTCATAGTTTGTTGGATGGGCAACGAGGGCATCAATTAGGTACAGTGTAAAATAATTTCAAATTAAACCTATACTATTATTTTACCTTATCTTCTATCTACCACATATTTGCCACCGGACGTTAAGCAAACCAGTATCAATAAATCTATCTACAATTTTCTTGAGTGTTTGTTCATATTTGAGTTTCTAATTGTAATTTGAATGAATAAATACATATATAACAACTATCAAAATAATACTAAGAAAATATTATACAATAAACCATATGAATAATAAGAATGCATAAAGTTAATGATAAACAATAAAAGTTTGTAACCATGAGAAAGAACCAACTAGATGTACACATTGTTCTAAGACAGCTTCCTTGGTTGAAACGCCAAATGATAAGTCACACGAATAAGTGATTTCCACTATTAAATTTAAACATACAATACGGTATTTTGTAATTGTAACTACATTGTGACGAAAAATGAGTTCTAAATATTCTACAATACTTCTAGAGAATTTTTGATATACTCTATTTTCCTTATATTTTTTTGAGGAACAATCTCTGTCTCATTTTTGTTTAAAAACAGTTAACACATTACATTTTTCTTAAATAGGCGAAAACGTGTCAAACGAATGAAAATATTCTAAGTCAGCAGTTTGAAATGTGCCGAATACAAAAATTCATGTATAACGATATTGACTAATTTTTATAAACAAATAATCATTATCTATATTTTAACGCACATTGTCGTGAAACTGAGCATTTGGAATTCCAGTTTTACTTATTGCAGATAAAATGTCCGTAATGTACTGATTATTTAATTAAATAATGTTGATTGGACATCTAAGGCACGATACATAAAAGTCAAAGATTGAAAGAACAGAAAAAGTTGTTTGTAAAATGACTATAAAGGACCTAAAATTAAAACCCCTTACTCTCTAAGGTCAATTTTATTTTTTATTTTAGTTGAATATTAGTTTCTTTATAAACCTAAGAAGCTCATTATAAATCATGTCTGTACCGTAGTACTGACTACTGATCTGATGATACCTTTAGGGACTGATTGTTCATCTGCAGTGCTGTAAACAGAATGGAAAATTAAAAACAACACCTTAAATTGCATGCGTTTGAATCGATTTTCTGTATTCACCTTTATCGGGAACGCTCATAGCCGAATATTTTAAATTCAAGTATGCATAACCAATCATTTTCTTCTGATACAAAAAAAATAATCATCTTTGCTTCCTGTTCATTTATAAATTTCATATTCAATTTTTTTTTATTGACAATAACTTTATTTTATTCAGGTAATGTATATTCGTTGCATTATAAAATGTGAACATCTGCATATGAGAAATTGACATTTTTTCTAAAAAAAACTTGATGTTGTTGCTGGGTTACAATAATTTTCATAGAAAGTAATCCAATAATATAAAAAAAAAGAATAAATTCCTAATTCATTTATCTAAATTGAAGTAATGAATTCTTATGTGTATGTAGGGGTAAGAATAATCTTTTAATTTTAATCCTGGTATATATGATGAGTTTCTTACCTAAATATAGGAATAACCAGTTGATTTACTAGTAGGATTTTTTGAAATGCATTGTTCTTAGCTGAAAATTGAAAAAAACTGTTAGCACCATGATATATCTCCCTTAAAAATGTTCATTGTTAACAATGACTATTTATAGAAAATAAATCTCTGTTCTATTATTAACTATTAGTAAGAATATCCCCAAACATAAAATTATACACATTCTTTTTAGATAACATATATTTGTAGTTCTGCTAGAAGATATAACAATATCCTTTGCGTCTACTTTTTCAATATAAAATTCAGGAATCGTTTTTCGAAAGGGCTCAAATTGAATTAAGCTATAGCTGTACCCCCACTCATAATCAAGTACGTACAGTTCAATAATACCATTTTGGTGGTAATGTAAAAAAAAAACATATTGTGACCTACTGAAATAAACATGGTACCATTACCAACCGACAGACCATTGTTCGATATAAACCCAAAACATAACCCATATTACAAAGCCAACATTCTAAAAGTAAAGTTGCTTTAAAACTTGCGTCTTTTCCCCAACGAAGGCCGATCTTAAAAAATACATGACCCCAATTTGAATCGTCAAAATCAATATCAAGCATTATTTGAAAATCATTTGAGTTTCCAATTTGCATAGGACGCATCAAAATAATTGGAGTTGTAAAATTGTTGTTTTGATATGTGCCACTTAGATTTTTATTAGACATCGTTTTGTTGTCGTTATAAATGTATAAGTTTTGGTGCAATGTATAACGATCAAACCCAACCTCATTTGTTTTGATATTGATTGAAACCGCGATTTCATTAAAATCATATGCAGCAAAAACCGGCCACAACGGGCCTTTGAATTTTATGCTCTGAACTCTATGGAACTCGATCGTAGTCTTGCTTTTGGGAGATTTAGCTAGAAGGAAAATGGTATGTTCAGAAGGTCGATATTTCAGTATAAATCGACCTTCTACATATCGTGAATTAGATTCACTTTTAAATATGGTTTTACTCTCAATCAAAACTCCACTGCCTGTTAAAAGACATACACTAAATCTATTTTGGCAAGAGAAAGCACTAACAGAAAATAATATTGGATAAAAAAATAGTGTGCTGAGGCTGTCATTTGTAAATCCCAATTCAAAAATTGGAAATTGAACATAGTTTAGCGACAGCATAAACGTTTGTTGAAATGTAATAGAAAATTCTATAGAACTCTCTGTTTTATTCAGGAATGATGTGTTTGCAAAAACTCCCTCATATTTATACAGTCTTTTAGCCGAACCACATGTCATATTTCCTGAATGTTTGGTAGCTACAGTCTGATTATCAGCTGATCGACATGCAAATTGACTTATCACTTGAGTGTTGAACTTTAGTTCTGTAACTGCAAATAAAGAGAGTTTTATGTAAATTATAAAAAAGTGATGTGTAAAATATAATATAACAAAAATACCGAACTCCAAGGAAATTTCAAAACGAACATTCCTTGATCAAATGACAAAATCAAAAGCTGAAACATATCAATCGAATGGAAAACAACTGTCAATCTTGACTTGTACAGGAATTCCTTATGTAGGAAAAGAGATATTAAACCAGATTTTATAGCTAGCTAAACCTCCAACTTATTTGACAGTCGCATATAATTCTATTATATATATGACAGCAAAACAAACAGGCTCAACAGGTAAAAATGTAAAAAAATTTAGTACAACAGTAAAAATTTTATTTTAATCTGAATCCTCTAAAAACAAATAACTTTTTATAAAAAGAAAAAGAAAAATAGCATATAGACATTCTATAGACAAAGTACATAAGCAAAAATGAAAGACAAGAATCAAAATTTATCATGGCACCATCACACAATGACGGAATGTATCAGTACATAGCCACGCCAAAAGTGTATTACCGAAAATGGACTCAATAGTCAAGGTTAAAAATTAAAGTAAATAGGAACGGTAATTCGGCACTTTTCAACTATAAATGAATGATTGCTTAATGATATGCTTTTGTATGTGGGATAACCGGAGTACTCATTTATTCCTAACTCGTTTATAAGACTTTCGTAGTAGTACGATTTAAAAACAAAAACAACGCCATATTTATCGTGAAGAGACGATAAGACATACTTTTCTATCTCTGAAAACGGACTTTAATTGGAAGGTCATTCACACAGTTTTTCGTCTTATGAATTCAATTTAAAGAGATATATATAGAGCATTTTTTTGTGGATTTATAGACAATACAATATTGGCTAATATACAATAACATAGATTCATGTATTCTGTTTGGTACTTACATAATCAACACAACGGGATCACATGTGAAAAAGGAATCTTCAGTGTACATGAGATCACCACCAGTTTTTGATAGGGTTCGGATGCTCAGTCTTTAGTTTCCTATGTTCTGATTTGTGTATTGTAAACTGTTGTTTATCCTTTCATCTTTTGTAGTGTTTTATCTAAAGTTGTCAATTTGTTTTCCACTTACGAGATTGAATGTTTCATTGTTATCGTTCTCCTCTCTTTTACCACTTAATCACGTTTTACTGAACTTTTTATCAAATCCTAAATTCTAAACATTTTGAAAAAGTTTAAGCATTTATACGAAAAAAAGGAATGTGCAAACATTTTAGCCTTATTTAGATGCAAAATGGTGGTTGAATTTGAACATGCATGCACACCAACTCAGAGTATGACTTGTCAGCAACAAACCTATCTTCCATATAAAAAGAATTTTGATTGTGCATATCTTTTGATGCAAATGTTACAAAAACGTGTTAAATTTGCATTATTGTACCTAAATGTATTTCAACTACAATCTTCGACGTTGAATTGCATTTATATTTATAGATTTTAATAAATCTTGAAAATCTTTAAAGTATATGAATGATAGTCTGGCTCAAGCTCAGCTTTCGTGAACCAAAATATTGATTTGTCTTCATTTGTGTTAGCATTTGTTACAAACAGCAAACTTTAAAAACAAAATATAGTACGCTTCACGTATCTCAGATCTTCTTGAAACTCTCTATATGCGTAAAAGACACATTTTTAATTTCCCTATGGGAATCTTAACTGCAATGGCGTTCTATGTTTTTATTGATCTTTTGTTTGAGAGAATTACGTCAGCAAATCACTTAGAAACAGACAAATAGAATTTGGAAGAAAACAATGCATAGCTTTCAAAACAACAACTGAAAAGGTACACTAACGCCCGAAAAACATAAATTATTGCAAAAGGGAATTTTTGTAAAAACTACACACTGTGCACCATAATTTAAAAAGAAGAGTGGACATTTATTGAATATTTGTCATAAAACAAACATGTGGGAGGTGGTAGACTATTGAAAAAGTTGTTTTTGCAAAGTATGGTTCTTTTTCCTCGGAAAAAAGAAATAAAACCATACCAATTGATATAAGCCAACAATTCTTTTACAAATTAAACTAAATTGCAGACACAACTAGTTTTCAAAAACAAATGGAGCTTCTGTAAGAACTGCTAAAACAATAGCAAATCCCTGTTTTTTTCTAGAGAACGGAAAATAGTCGGCATAACAATGTAAAACCTCCGTTATTCGGAAATTGAGCGGTACATAATAATCAGTGAAGCGGATAACAAATATAATGTTTAATTGAATAATGGAAAGTTATCATTAGTTATTCATAGGTCAATTCCATTGAATTGAAAAAAGTAAAATCACAAAAATACTGAACTTCGAGGAAAATTCAAAACGGAAAGTCAATAATCAAATGGCAAAATCAAGAGCTCAAACACATCAAACGTATGGATAACAATTGTCATATTCCTGACTTGGTACAGGCATTTTCTCATGTAGAAAATGGTGGATTGAACCTGGTTTTATAGCTAGCTAATCATCTCACTTGTATGACAGTCGCATCAAATTCCATTATATTGACAACAATGCGTGAACAAAACAAATGATATAAAAGGTAAAAATGTCAAAAATACAGCAGTGCAATGAAGCGAGAATACAAAAACAAAACCTATAATGTGTATGGTTGACATGACTCTTGCACTTACACTGAACTAATTCAATCAACGTGATGTCGTTATTTTCATCTCATGAAATAACTTAAGGTAGATCGGGGTCTAAGTTAAAATCCATAGATTTTTAAATATTTTTAAAAATGTAGTTCTTATCAATATTTTGTCAAAACTATGATAACAAGTATGGGTCTAATAGCTCTTATAATATGATTGCAGATAGGAAAAGAAAAAAAATGTATATCTGGACTCGTTTTTTTGCCAAATTCACAACAGCAGTATTAATGATAAAACACATAATTTTCTATATTATCATGAAAAGTCTTGCACATGAACTACGTACTGCTCTTGGAATTTGCACATTTTATTAAAGATCTATACCGATTAGTATTTGCTATTTCAAAATCCAAGATAGAGAAAGACAACCCAGCTACGTAAACTATGAAGACTAATAAAAAAACCAAGTTAAACAAATACAAAACGAACACATTATGTACTGTTCACATCTGTATACTCACGGTTGCCATATACTTTTATAACTTATAACAAACGGTAGCACCGATATATGATAAATAACTAGGCATAGAAAAAGACACAGTATAATCATCCATAATACGTTTCTTAATCTGAACACGTGTAATAGTATATAAAGATCCCGTTTAAGGTTTCGCCCATCATCAGATTCTTACACCCATGTCCGCTTGTCTGAGCTCTTGATGCATTAGTCTTTCGATTTGGATTTCTTGATCAGGTTGTTTACCGTTTTGGTTCCATGAAATGTATCTTAATAGTCAGTACTGTTTGTTTGCAAGCATGCTTATCAAAGCACATACTGCCGACCATCATAATATTCTATATAAACATAAATATGAATATAAATTAATGGCGAGCATATGCAATAAGATTTTTCTAGTTCTGTTTGATTTTATATTAAAGATTATATAAATATGGTAGTCATCGTTTTAACCTGTATCAGAATGATTTTTTTGTGGATCGAATCAGTCAATCAAATGGTTCAATTGCTTTCACTTTTAATGTTGACATTCTTTTTCTTTAAGTAGCCAAACACGCTTAAAACATGTTTTTAAATAAGAAAATGCATGTACCAAGTCAGGAATATGACAGTTGCTATCCAATTGTGTGATGTGTTTGAGCTTTTGATTTTGCCATTTGATAAGGGACTTTCCTTTTTGAATTTTCCTCGGAGTTAAGTATTTTTGTGATTTTATTTTTTAACCTATCTCCAGTTAAGGGGTATAAGTATAGGTAACATTCATATAGATAAAATAAGGTTGAGTACTTGGATTGCAAGTCAATAATACATCAGCGATGTTTTTGAGCTTATTTTGACAAATTTGGCCAACACTGGCGGCTTATAACGAAATATTATTTCAAAATTCCACTTTAAGTAGTACTTGAAACAAAAAGAATAGTATTTTCAATTTTTGTCTGAATCGTAGTTAATGCCGCATTAATGATCACCATTCAAAGAACTGTTATGCCTTTTGCTAACTTAAAACTGTCGTCAGATAGGTTGTCAGGGAGAATTTGCAAGAGTTAAAAAAAGTTTCAGTTGAGTGTTTTGTGGAGGGGCAGACTAAAGATAGTTAGATGTTGAAGACTAACTTCCTAAGATAACTTGCACAAAACAATGGTTTTCTTTCTTAAGTTATGGACAAAAATGATCCAAAAATAAAGTCTGTCGTCATGGCTTTTCAGCAAAAACTTAAGGAGGGTGTCAGTGAACAGTAAGGCGAATTTTCATTGTTTTTCGTAAATGAATAAAGTAATTAATTTGACTGAAATTGATGTGACAAATAAGTGAACGAAATTTAAATAGAGGACAAGTTAGAAAATTTGGAAAAACATCTCTAATAGTATCATACGTAGTAGCACGAATATTGTTTGTTTTCTTATTCAAACACATCATTCTTCTATGTTCTTTTGACGTATAGCAAAGATATTTCACTTGGTACTGTGAATTGTTAAGGTTGTTAAGTTTAAATGTAGGTTAAATACAAAAAAAGTAATGGAATATGAAGTGAGATGATTTATCTAATAGGTTTGCTTTATAAGTTTTGAAAACAAAGCAGTCAACCCAAACACGCCTTAACATATAAAGGTGTAATTACTGACTAATTTTCGATGAGGTTATTGCCTATTTTTATGATTTAAGTGTTGCCTTGAACAGAAATGCAAATAATGCTTTACAAAGATTTTCTTTTTGTGTGCTTTTTTTGTCGGTGGAGTTTATGCTTATGCGCATTTAAGATTCAAATGTTTATGCTCTTTCCGTAATCGACTGTTTTGTGAAAAATGTCAATAGTCTAAAAGTTCACAAATGTCTCGATGCTCCGTATCGTATTTCAAGTATACACGTATATAAGATGCAGACAAATTTAAATTATGCACCTGTATTAAGTTTTAAAATCACATAGAAACAGATTTTAAAAATTCCAATATACCAACTGAGCGATATTTACCTCCTCCATAATGACATGAAGAAAGAGTTTCATTTCTTTAGTTAAATTTTATCTTGATATCAACCATTCTATCCAAATTTACTGATTTTATTTTAACAAAATGGAAGTATAATATAATACCTAACATACATAAATCAGCTCGTCAGTTTTTTCGTTAGAATTGTTTTACTTTAGTCAACCTATTATTGTGCTGTGGTAAAGTTTTGTATTCTCGTGTTTTATTTTTGCTAATGTGCATTGTTTATAGTTTTATTGTGTTTTTTTTTACATATGACGTGGCTCTGTACTTATACCTCCCGTCATTGTGTTATTGTGCTATTGTGTTATGGTAAATTTTTGTATTCTTATCTTTCATTTTTGCTATTGTGTTTTGTCTATTTTGCCTTTTAATACTTCTTTTGGATGATATATTGGCTCTCAATAATGACGACTTCAGTATGTATACTAAAGAAATGTATCCTGTTGAACTTACTTTAAATAAAGCTAGTACTAACAATGACCACTGTCCTTTCCTCGATCTTGATATCTATATCATTAACGGGAAGCTTAATACAAAAATTTATGATAAAACAGATGATTTTTCATTTCCTATCGTTAATTGTCCATTTTTAGATGGTGACGTTCTTTTGTCACCATCTTATGGTGTTTATATATCTCAACTTGTACGATTCGCTCGTGTATGTAACAACGTATTAGATTTTAGCGAGAGAAATTTATGTATTACTGAAAAATTATTACACCAGGGTTTTCGATATCATAAACTAGTCAAAACATTTACTAAATTTTATCATTGGTATAAGGACATCATTCGTAAATACAACTCAACATGCAGACATCTTATACGTTCGGGTATTTCACATCCAATCTTTTATGGTAATATTCATTACAAAGCACAAAAATGTCAGTATTCACCTCAAAAGCTAACAAAACCTTTAAACAGACTTATTAAGAAGGGGTACGATACTGTTGTCAGGTCATTAAAGATTGCATATTTTGGCTTTAATATTGATTCCCTTATAGGGTCTTTGCATCGAAATTAAACATATTTATTCTAAAACCAGTTGTTGTCATGACACGGGTTATGTTCTTCTCATATATTTTATGATGGTATAACACTAAACCCCTAACAGGAGGGATTGTGCCTGATATTCATATGATGAAGACATAATCTTTCAATCAGTTTAATTGAAGTCTGGAGCTGGCATGTCAGTAACTGCTAGTAGTCTGTTGTTATTTATGTATTATTGTCATTTTGTTTATTTTCTTTTGTTTCCTATTGTGACATCGGACTCGGACTTCTCTTAAACTGAGTTTTACTGTGCGTACTGTTGTGCGTTTGTTTTTTTCTACATTGGCTAGAGGTATAGGGGGAGGGTTGAGATCTCAAAAAACATGTTTAACCCCGCCGCATTTTTGCGCCTGTCCCAAGTCAGGAGCCTCTGGTCTTTGTTAGTCTTGTATCATTTTTAATCTTAGTTTCTTGTGTATAATTTGGAGTTTAGTATGATGTCCATTATCACTGAACTAGTATACATATTTGTTTAGGGGCCAGCTGAAGGACGCCTCCGGGTGCAGGAGTTTCTCGCTGCATTGAAGACCCATTGGTGGCCTTCGGCTGTTGTCTGCTTTATGGTCGGGTTGTTGTCACTTTGACACATTCCCCATTTCCATTCTCAATTCTATTCTTTGTTTTTTATATCATATTGATTAAGATTTTTCACACAAGGTTGACTGCTGTATTACTTTTTTTTTACATTTTTAACTATTATGTCTGTTTGTTTTGTTCACACACCGTATGATGGAATTTTATGCGACTGTCATACAAGTGAGAAGTTAAGCTAGATTCAAAACCATGTTTAATTCACTATTTTCGACCTAAGAAAATGCCTGTACCAAGTCAGGAATATAACAGTTGTTAACCATTCGTTTGATGTGTTTCAGTTTTTGATTTTGCCATTTGATTACTATCTTTCCGTTTTGAATTTCCCTCGGAGTTGGGTATTTTATTATTTTACTGTTTGATGCAATTTTTTGTTATTTAAAATATTGACTCTTCAAAATAGTTAATTTTGTTTCATCAGATGCATCATATGCTATTTTTAAATATTTCAGCAGGGCATCTTTCATTAATGATAAGACGGCAAACATAAAGTCTAAAAAGTAACCTACCTTGGTCCTTGTCGATCAACGTTTGCATAACTTCGTCTGCCTCAGATATTTCTAGATTTTTAACATTTCTGTTGATTAATTCAAGATTATTCTCAGACTTAATCTTTTTCTCGATTTTCATTTCGTCACCAGTTGAATCTTTAACTGTGGTATGTAAGTATCGTTTCACATGGACATCTATTGTTTGGTAAACATTCAAAAACGACCTCATGCTGTTCCGGTTTATCAATTGTTCTGAGAGGCTGCAACATTCACTTGCATTTTGTAGAAAAGTGTCTAAGTTAGCTTTTCTTATAACTGCTTTCAAGTCTTCCTGCTGGAATGTAATGTTATATTCATCAAGAAGTTTTTGTTTTTTGTTTTGTAAAACATTGATTCCTTTATTATATATGGCATCTACGTTACTGCAAAAATCGTTCTTTTTATCTTCTCGTGTATGAGTACTGTTAAGAACTTTTTCCACTAGCAATTCGACACCTGACATTCTTGTTCGAAGAGATTTCACGTCATCTCCTAATTCTCTTTTCCTCTTTGTGAAAGCATCTTCAATGTCTTCAAGAACATGTTCATTGATATATCTGTGTTCATCTAGCGCACAGGAGGGACAAAGAACACTTTGACATTTCGAAGAATTGCAGAAATGTTTTAGTTTTGCCTTTTCATGTTGAGGATTCTGACAAACATCAACATTTTCTTCTTGTAATATCTCAGATTTGTTAACAACTGTATTGTGCGTTTTATTTTATTTTTCGTGCTGACAGCGACAAATCTCACAAAGATTTATATTACACTGCTGACATTTATAGGTAACATCCGCGGTAATTCCACATTGACAGCATTTTTTTGAAAGCATTTAGATCGGAATGAACCTGCAAAAATGACGTCAAATCCCGTCTAGTGTTATCCTTTGGGAAATCTATAGGTCCGTTTTTGTTCACTTTATGCACAGCATTACAAGTTGGACATTTAATTTGATCTTTTCGGCCTTTGAGTCTTTTTAAGCATTCTAAACAAAATGAATGATGACAAGGAAGCAACATTGGTATACGCTTATCTTCGTCAAACAACTCTGTGCATATGTTACACTCCAAATATCGACGTTCCAATTCAGTTATTAGATTCACAGCATTTTTAGTAGCCATCTTATCTCATTCTGAAAGATTCACAGTAATTCATATTTTTCATGGAATAAAACATGATCACCTTAAGAAATCAACAACTTTATAAAATATTGAGGACAAGAATATGAGTCCATATGATACATGGCCCTACCTGCATTATCACATTTCCATGAACTTTGAAATCTGGGTTAAATCCTTTATTGGCATATATTTCCCCACATAATACACTGTGTACTTTGTTTTAATTTGATACAACAACACATGTATGGTAAACTACCTAAAACCTTTAACGAAAACTATCTTATACTGAACTGTGGAGTGGAATAACGAGCTAACAGACGGATAAGCAAACATTATACTTCCTACTATCAGAGAAGGGGATAAGACATGTATTTGTAAGATAAACTACCTATTTGGTACGTGCTATGCCTAAAGATTCAAAACCATTCACTGGTAGTTCTATTTCCCATCATTATCTTCCAAGGAATCATGTTTAATGTGTTTGTGAACTTAAAAGTAGCACGTACTTATGCTGATACTCACCTTTTCATATATTACAGAGATTTGGTACAGCATGTACAATTAGTATAACTACTTGTAAGGATTTTGTAACCACCACATACGCATACGCACACATACAATACAATAATACGGGTCATTAAATCTTCATCGTTGCAGGTCTATTTTGTTTCGCTTTCGTAGCAAATTTTATTGTATACAAATACAACGATAAGATGATTGAAAAGGCCAAAGCTTGAATTATATTTTTTTTTAAGTCGTTGGTCTGGAAACAACACACAATATTGACACACTGGTGCATTTCATATTTTTAATTAGTAAACAAAACAAAGAAACTATACAGGTCCAGTATGTGCACTAACAAAAATACCAAACAAAAAAAATGTTTTTAGCACAGATTCACTGCTAAAAATGTATGTTTAACCTATATTCTAATATGACGTGCTTCTTTCGCTTTGTAAACAACACCGTGATAAAATTCTCGATATATCTATACTAAGCGTAGACTCCGAGATGCACATAATAATGGCTGTTAAAATATACCTCCCACGTTAATCCACATGTATCGTAACATATGTGTAAATGCTACGTCGTTTTCGCTTTGTTAAAAATTACTATTGAATGGACCTTACAGAACCTTTATTTTTATTCTGAGGCATAACAAAACGAATTTATGCATTAGAGAACATTTACTGATTTCAGGAAGTCAACATGTCGGCTCTTTGGTTACAAATGTCAAAAGTGAGTTTGACGGTAGCTTACGAGAAAAAAGATGTAAATTAAAAATGGCAAATGTTGGGTTTGAGAATAAAAGAATCAATCCCATTTTTTCTAGCGGTTATTTAAAAAAACCAGTCATGCAAGCTACAGATTAATTTGATTTTTTTTACATTTATCGAACAATGAGTAAAATAGTACAGACACACACATGGCATACCCATCCTCGCTTCAGTTTTTTAATGACCGTATTTGTCCTATTTCAATCAAAATAATTCATGGGATCAAAGGATTTGCTGTAAATTTTCACATGGCCTGGGCCGTGATATTCGTTAATTTTTATCCCTCGCTAACGATCAGGATAAAATTCGAATATCACGGCCCAAGCCATGTGTAAATTTTCAATAAATATATGGCGTCCATGAATTATTTCCCAAGTAACGAGTTTCATCAAGGAAGTATTGTATATTAATAATGAATGTGTAACTCTTGCAATTAATATAGCCTGGTGATGAGATTGTGGATACCAATGGACGTCTATTTGAAATTAACCAATAATTTGTAACATTGCTAAAAGAAATCAAAATCAACGTGCAACGTATGTAACAGTGCACTAATGTATTTATACGGTTTGATTAGATTTAATGTACCCTATTGTTACTTCATTTGTTCTCGAATCGAATTCAAATACTTTTAATAGAACGTTGGTTAAATGATGTATTGGCTATGATTAGTATGAATAAGTAATCACATATATTTGATACGGTTGTAGGAAGTAATGCAAATTCTAAACATTTATCTATTATCCTTGTTATGTTTTAGTTTTATGAAATTGGTTATGTTATCAAATATAGATAACGGATGTAGTTATATCAAACCAATTTACGAAACGTATCAGAAATGACAGAAAGTACAATATTTTATTATGAAGAAGAAGGCACACTTAAACAATTATGTTTAAAAGATCAACCATATCATTCAAGCTAATCCAAAGGTATTAAATGGAGTATTATGATTAATTACACTATGGACATAAAAAATTATGTTAAAATGCTGCTAGTGAATGAATACAACAAAACCAAACTGTTGTGATTAAGGTTTAAAAATATCTTCATTGTATTTCATCAGTCAACGTAATCATCGTACTTTAAATTCTGTTTATGATTTTTTTGGTCTAATCCTTTACTGCATTGTTTCTTATAAATAAGTGTGAGGAATATAAAATTACAATAGAACCTCTTACGAGGATCATGCAAAGGTCTTAAGACAATATTCCTTAATCATTAAATTAAATGGCGCAGATTCTTGAGACACCATTGATGTACTTTATCCGGGAATAAACTTTAATTGAATTGTATTTGAGGTGCAGTTGTACTTGCACAGTGACATAATTCCTTTGTGGGTTTTAAAAAAAGACAGAAATTATATATAGGTGTAATGAGAAAAATTTAACCCTTGGTAATTCTGACAATAAAAGTTTATCCACCTCACATGTTACCTGTGTAAAATTTGAATACGACAAAATACTTCCATAACAATAGATCTATTTAGGGATAAACACAGTTTTCACTCTTTCTGATTAAATCACACGAATGTTGTCATTAGAGGTTTTTATACATGATTGTCAAGGGTGTCAACTATTTTGTGTTCTGTATATTATTTCTTCTGTATTTTTAATAAGCATGAAGAACTCGGATGCATTATAATTCTCATTATATTGTTTTACAGTTTAAAAACAATCTTACCCCAGTTAAATTCCGTGTATTTCTTTAAATATCATATCTCTCTAAATCAATTTTATTTGTGTACACCACATATTTTGACTACGCTCTGATTGAATAACTAAATTGAATTGCTAAATTTTACTTCCTCTTTAATGTTATTTTGGCGGAATTTTTCAATTAAAGACCGCACCAAAACATGAATGTATGTGAGTTTTTAATAGCAAAACTAAGTATGATGATATCACCTTTGAGAAGCATTGTAAAGAGAGTTCATATACTAAGGGGGATGCTATCCTTTCATTTTGTTCACGATAAAGAAAATTTTAAAATTGATTTATCAGAGGTCAGAGAACATTTTAGATCATGTTAGATTACAGTCTCCTATGTTTACATTCCTTTTGTTTGCAACGTTTCTTTATTCCTTGTGAAATAACATTGGTCATATAAATATTTGAAACATACAGCCATTAACTGCATGATGTCTTTTTTGGGTTTTTCTGTACCATTTGTTTTATGACGCCAATACAGAATACAGTTGCGCGATATCTTTACGTCGAATTCTCAAATGTTGGTGTTACCAACATGTATTTAATTTGTTTAGTAATGTACATTTTATTTATACTCGGCTAGAAACATGATAGAATTAATAGACTTATTATATTAGTAATATATGAATATTATACAAATAAATGTTATACCAAAGCAAGTGTTTAGACACTATGTGGTTATTTTGTATATAATTTTGTATATTTTGTATATAATTTTGGTTATTTTGTATGTGTTGGTGCTGCTGTTTACTAACTACAAATGATGAGCATCACAAAATATAATGACTTCATGATATGCCTTTATTTTGATATTCATATTCAAATCGTGAGAATGCGGTATAAATGGATATGTTTGATCCTTTTTTCATTTTAATCTATGTGGTTTTTGATCATGAAATGATATATCATGGTTAATTTGTTTCCTCTTGTAAAACCAGTTATAATAAAAATCATTTAAACGTAGCTACCGAATTCCGTCTCGACAAACAGAGCTGACCTTAAATAGATCTTTGATATTTTTTATTGGTCATTTGCGGTCACATATCGCCTCACTATTTAACTGGTTTGTATTAACTCGAGCATCACGACGGATGCCACATGTGGAGCAGGATTTACTTACCCTTCCGGAACACCTGAGATCACCCCCAGTTTTTGGTGGGGTTCGTGTTGCTAAGTCTTTAGTTTTCTACATTGTGTCTTGTGTACTATTATTTGTTTTGAGGCGATGCTTATCTTGCCATGTCTGATGCCGGACAAATATAATTTGAAGGACTTATTACATTATATTTTTATTTTGAGGAGGCTATTCAATTTGATTTTATTGTCATTTTCAATGAATGCTTGTTTAATTAGTCCGATCAGGAACAGATTTACAAAATGACTGAACTCCAAGAAAAATTCAAAACGGAAAGTCCCTAATCCAATAGCAAAATCAAAAGCTCAAACACACCGAACGAATGGATAAAAACAGTCATTTTCTTATGTAGAAATGGTGGATTATACATGGTTTTATAGCTGGCTAAACCTCTCACTTGTATAACAGTCGCATACAATTCCATTATATTGACAAAGATGTGTGAACCTAAAAAAGATTTAAAAGAAAAGAAAATACAAAATAGGGGTACTGCAGTCAATATAGTTGTCTTAATCACTATAAAAACAAACATCTGTTAACAAAGTCCGGCTTTTTTTCCTACAAATTCAATATTTATTTTAAGTCATTGTAAACAGAGATGAAAATTTGCCAAAGTTTGTGCTCGCACTTCATTTTAACTAAAACACCATCTGCAGAATATACATGTCATATTTCGTTTCGCTCAACCAAAGCTATTTTTAAAATTCGTGGACACTATCCCTTTCATATATATTTGGTGTGGAAAATGTTTTCTTCCGTCATTTTGCAGCTAAAGAATAATATGATTACAAGAAAAATGCCACAATGTTTGCAAATACACTTTTAAACGTATCTTATATTTTAATACACACCTGGATTTCACATTGACGTCTTCCTGGTGATGGCTATTCCAGAAAGCGCATCGGATGCACGAATTTTTTAAAGTGTTATTTTCTAGGATTAAAATATATTTTTGTCTCTACTAGTAATAGGTCTGTGAATCAGGATATAAAGTGTTATAATTCAAAGAACAAAC